TATGTAAAGCATATAAAAATGCTTTCAAACTACAAACTTTCCAAAAAGGAATGAAAAATCAAATTTCGTTCTTCCTACTCGTTATACTACCATTTTTCTGCAGGTAAATCACCAACTCGAAATATGAAGAATTTACGTTTTTAGGTGAATTGTGGCCTCCAGGACAATCCAGAAAGGTCGTGAATACCGTTTTTAATTTGAATTTTTGATTTATTTTTTACTCTCTGCCGTCATTTTATTATCAACAGCGATTGAGATTTCTGTACATTTTGAGCTCTAATTTTGATGTGGATTTCACGTTTAGTTAACTTCAGATAATTTCTGATTCTTGACCCCCTAAGCAGTCAATATTTTGGCCCAAAATGTTCCAAAAAGGGTGCATTTTTTATTGCATATAACTAAGCATAATACTTAACAAAATGAGAAAAAATGGAAGAATTTTATTTTAATTTTCAAAATTTCAAAGTTTTCATACTATTTTTTATCTTATAATTATGGAATGCCAAAACCCCTAAATGTTTGCTTTTTATAAGTACACTCTGCATGCTATGAAAAATGTTTCATATATCTTAAAAGAATTTCTCTCATGTTTACAAAAAATTTCCATGTTCGTACCTCTTTTTCAAACAGTTGAGGATTTAGTGTGTATGTGCAAATATAAATGAACACCGAGCTACCCCATTACGCCTAGGATTGTTATTATTGTTAAAAGAATTCAAAAAAAATTTCTTAAAGATGCTATCAATTTGCATTCACAAAAATTTCTTGTTTATTGTCCTAGTTTCTAGATAATCCAATGGGGCGTTCGCGTCTTAAGACAGAAACCCATTCTGATTTAGTTGGTCCAGCAGCACAAACTATTGACCGATGGTTCGCGATAGCATTTAAAATTACTAAGGGATATTTAAATTAAAATTGTCTTCAAGTACTCTGTTCAATATTACTTTTTAATGTTGCGGTTTAACAACTAAGTTGTCACCGCGGCAGCCCTGCTATGGGTGTGAAAAAGGAATTTTTTTTTTTTACACGGATTTGAAAAATTCTGTTTATTTATTAAAATTATTTATTACTAATTTGTAAATAAGGTCATTAATTTAAGCTCTGTCGAATGTTTTTTGGGTGTCCCGAAAAAGAGCTTCCTTTGATCTGCTTGCCTGGAAATAGGAAGTCTCCAAGGGTTTGGGATACGATATTGTATTTGCATTATACTTCGATGGAATTGTATCGGAATTCAAAATGGATATTTCCCATATTAACATTATTTAGAAGTTTCCGTGGTGCATTCGTTATTCAAACTATACTCATGTCCAAAGTTAAGGTCGCAAACACAAAATCTGTGAAAACTGATGAACTATTTGCTGTGTTGCCACGAAATTTGGCCCCGAGACGTATTACAATGTGAGAAAGAATGTAGCAACAGAACCATCTAGAAAATATTTTAATTTTGAATTCAGGATATATCAAAAAGTGTAACATCACGCATCAGAGATATAAAGCATTTAATTCTGGAAAAGTCTGTCTAATTTGGAGTGTGACCACCGTGCACTGGTATACAAACCTCGTAACGAGCTATCATAAAGTTTATGAGGGTGTCGATAAATATTTGTGGCAACAAAGCCTGCTCTTCCAAAAGCGAAACTTTTAACTCCTAGAGGGTCCTGGGAAGAGTGCTACACTGAGAAAAAGTTTTTCCTAGGCGATCCCAAGTATGTTCAACAGAATTGAGATCCGGAGACCTCGAGGGTCAATCCATACGACTAATATCTTCATGAAATTCATCAACAATGTTAGTTCTGTGTGGCCGCGCATTTTCGTCCATAAAAGTAATTCCTCGTCTGAGAATCACTTTATCTGGTGAATTTCGACTCACCACTGAAAGGAACACGCCCTCATTCTTGCGGTGTACACTACTGATGTTTTGATCTCCAGAATATCCTGTCTTTCCTGTTGGATGTAGGTGGCCGCGGTAGACGAGTGGTATAGGTATCGGATCGTGGCTTGCCTTGTCACGAGTTCGAGCCCAATACCATTAAAGATCCGCCGTATAGGGCAGCGATGCGCGTTAAATCTGCCGAGAGCTGAAACATCCTCCCCTTGGTGTGGTGTGGTAGTTAGGAGAGGGGGAGTGCCAGATCAGGTGTTATCCACGTCACTTTACCATGGTTCAAAATTACTCGGTCCGTCGCCAAAAGCCCTCGAGTAGCTGAACAGTGCGATGTTAATATTCAATCAATCAACCTGTTGGATATAGTCTAGTGTCTCAATCCAGTAATTTTGCAAAAGCTAACGCTAAACAACATCTTTTCCTAAATTAAAGATTGACATTGTACTAGCCTTTCCTCAAAATATGTAAAAGGCAAATTCTATCAGTTTTTTTTGGAGGCAATTTAAAATTACGACGTAAAACATGTTTGTTACCTTAATTTTGGACATAAGTGTATTTGCACAGTTTGTGCTCGACTAGACGTGTAAATGTTTCACCTACAATGCACCCCTTCAACATTAAGTTTCATATTAACCTTCATATTAACAATGTTCTGGGATCACCACATCTGTAAGTATGACAGTTGACATTTCTTGGGTTCTGTGCTACTTGGTTCATTAGAGTACTTAAAATCCTCAGACAGTTAACATTGACTTATAAAGAATTTTTTGAAAATAGTTTTAAGAAAATAGTTTAATTATAATAAGATTAAATATATACTGTGACGTTGAAAATTATCAAAATTGTACATTTCCGAAAAATTAATATGTATGTAATAAAATATTTTTTGTGATAAATTTTTTTTAAGAGACAGAGTGTTTTGGTAGGAAAGTATTTTAAATATTATTATTTACTTGTGCCCATTATAACTGAAATATTTGCCTCAACATTATTTGAAGATCAGATTGCAAATTTAAGAATTTCAATTGCATATGCGTATGCGTCAACTTTGAAGCCAAAATGTGTATGAGATGGAGATGTTCATAAAGCTTACTTGATAATTTCGAATAAAATAAAAAACTGCAATTATTATAGTAGAAAAACAGTTTAAACTAATGAAATTCTAAGCAAGTTAAGTTAGAAAAATTAGTAATCTATAAGTACGTAAAAAAAGTGAACAGATTTCATTCAATGTTTATTCAAGTTGTTGAAAATATATTCTTTATTTATTTTTAATTGCATATTACAAATTTTACATTACAAATGGCTACGTTAGTAATAAAATAGTATTTTTTTAATTAATATTTATAGTATTTTGTGAATGGCAACACTAGTTTTGTGTTCGATTGTTTTTAAGTTTAGAATAAGTGTTAGGATTAAGTTCTTTTTTGATTGGTGATCTTCGAAAAGATTTATCGCTTTTATTTCAAGTTTCTAGCCACCGTAGCACGAGTTTTAATCAAAACTATTTCGATTTAGAAGTGTGGAAAATGGGATTTGGTGTCCTTATGATATTTTTGAAAGCTAAGAAAAAATTAGTTTAGATTTTCTTTTGGAAGCTTTAACACAAGTAGTGACGAGAATATAATTTTTATTTTAATATCGTTTGGCAGAACAAACAACATTTTTGAAAGCCTTGTGCCAAACGATTTTCTTTCTTATTGAATAATTACAAATGTTGTCATTTCATTATTTCTTGTTTTTTTACGAATTCTTAATTTATTTATTGCTTTCCTAATCTATTATTAGTAACGACATGTATGTTTTTTCGGATTTCAGAGACCTATTTCCCGAAGAAAACACATTTAGGGAACAAAATTCTCGTAACCAGAGCGACAATCATAGAGTAACAGTGTTTTCTTTCGACACCGCTTGCTTAAAATTAAGATTGAGCTTTCGATTTGGCTAATGAGGCAAATGTATTTAGCATTGCGAAAGTACTTTTAATTATAGTCATCAGCTAAGAAACTCGTATCCTTGCAGTATGTGGAGGAAAAGGTGAAACTGTGGAACATTTATTCCGGTCACTGAAACACGCTGAGTGTTAATGGCGTCAATACAGAACTCCGTTTCTTTTATTAACTGCAGGTCTCGCTGCAATTACTGCTTCCCTTTTTTGTATTTGTTTACGAGGGAAAAAGAAACTCTTTGAGAACTATAATTCCGACTGTTTTCACGTGTGCTGCACTTTTTGTAATTAATTTGAGTTAGAGGGCGAAGCCCTACAGGAAGGTACGTTTTTTAATTTAAAATTTTAGCGAGATCTTTTTAATGCATTAAGAGTTCTAAGAAATAGCTAGGAAAACAATATATGTTTGTTTGTGTGCGTTTGGTTTTTTTTTTAAATGTAGTAGGTTCATTTTTTGTAAATTATAGAAAGTATTTTACAGATTTATAAAAATATCTTTTAAAATTAAAATTTATTGAGAAAATTTGTATACAAATTTTTAAAAGTAAGAATTTATTTTCAAAAGTCAAAGTAGAAATCTCTGTAAGACTAAAATTTTTAAATAATATATCAGTTAATATATAAACAAGTAATATAAAAAAAATTACGTCAATTCCTACTTCGGCAAACTAAGAATTTTTTTTTATTTTAGTTACTTTTTATTAAATAATTATAATAAATGCGTATGTCGCCCATCTGGTATAGTGGTTAGCAACGCTGACAGCTGCGCCGCAGGGCCTGAGTTCAAATCTCGGAGAAGACATGGATGTTTGTAAATGTATATAGTGCCTTTGTAGCATGGAGGTACTATAAATAGCCGTCGAGCCACAAGTCCTCTCGTGAGGTTGGTGAAAGGGGAAGAGAGGTTGGAGGCCTCTGACCATCCTCAGGGTGTTCTTCCTCATAATTGGGGTGGAATATAGAAGTCCATCCCGTCTCAGGCTCTGGCAACTTTCATTCCACAACACGACAACAACAACAATTTATACGTATATACATATATGAAAGACCACAATATATTAAGTGGCAAAATAGAAAGTGATTTTCCTTTCTATATATGGAGTTGGACGAACATTTTTTGTTTGTTACTATTTATTCATTCATAAATCACATTCTCAGAAATGAGGCCATCCCAGGTAGAATTCGAAACAACCCCTTTTGATTAGAAGTCCAACGCGCTATCCATTGCGCTACAGGGACCCTACGAGGAATTTCCCTTTTTATATATGGTGGTGAACTATTATTTTTGTTTATTCATTAATTAAAAATAATTAATGAATTAATATTTGAAAAACTGCATTAACATCTAGCGTCATCCACTACAAGTTTTAAAAAGTGTATTTGAACTTGAGTGGATGAATGAGAAGTATTTCATTAACGATTGAAAATTTGAACAGTGTGTGTGTGTGTGTTGTGTGTGTTTGTGTGTTTGTGTGTGTGTGTGTGTGAGGAGAGAATGTGAACTAATAGTAGGAATTGAAAAAATAATCATTTTTTGAAATGGAAATGTATAATATACATTTGAAATACGTCCTCAAAGAATGTGATGAAAAAAATTAGTAGATGTTTTAATTGATAAGCAAAGTGGTTGTCTCAAGAATGAGAAAAAGAATAATTCCAAATATAAAAACTTACTTTTTTGATTTGCTGCTATAATCGCCATTTCTGAGACAGAATTAAAATCTTTTTACGATTATGGTTAGATACTACCATTTTGTGTTATTATTTCATTTATACTTATCACCACTATTTTTTATCCTAATCATTATTTTTTATTATTATTACCACTATGAATTATTTATTGTGTTTTTTGACACAACTCCTTGTATTATTGCATCACTATTGTAAATGAACAGTTTGTGATTCAATCTCGGGAGGGTGAATGTGTGAGTGAGTGTTTGTAAACCTCGCACTTTAAAACAACCTGATAGCTATTGGCGACGGACATCGAAATTTGAATCATGGTCAAGTGACGATGATGACCTTGAGTTGGCACCCCTTCTTCAAACTACCACACCACGCCAATGGCATGACTTTGAGCTACAACAGTTTTAACTTGAATCGGCTCCTCTACACGGCGGATCTTCACTGACGTAAGTAGTCAAACACGTGACTTGACAACACCGTCCGTGAGTTCGTGACCATGGCCTCTTCTCTGCCGGAAACATAAATTGTAGGCGACGGGGAAAATACTGTTATTAATGCAAAGTGAATCGGTGTGATCTTGGCGACAAATTTGAGAACCAAATTATTTAAATCGACAAATCTGGTAAAAAAAATACATGTCTGTATATTTCATGTTTTTCGCCACTAGGCCACCGTGGCCACTCATGTAGGATTAGCAGGAGGGTAGGTTTTAAAAAAATATGTTATGAAATCATATAATCTATCTATCACATAATCCTATGAAAAAAATATTCTGAAGGTATCCGACTATGTTCGGAACCGTGATTTTAAAAAGCGCATAAATGGATAATTTTCAAGATATTTAGTGTCACTTAGATTAGAATACATGTATAAAAATGTTTTAAGGATATTTTGACAAAAAATATTTATTTAAATATATTTTGGCAAAAAATTAACTTAGAATAATTTTTTTTCCAAAATGTTCTCCTTTTATAAAAAATGCTTCTAAAATAATTGTATTTCGCTTATATAAAGTAAAGACTTCTCCAGAGAGTCTGAACTATTTTTTATTGAAAAATTCACATTATTTTCAGAGTTACCACCAATTGAAATAATCATCGGCGTTTTTTTCTTAAAATTTCTCCCCTCTGTTGTCGTAAAACATGGATAAACCCACTTCTAAGTTGTATATTTCAAGAATTCTAGTTCAGCCTCTGTACAGAGGTCTGAGCTATATGCAGGCAAAATATTTTTTTATAATAAAAGCATTTTTCACAAAAGAAGAATATTTTGAAAATGGGTCCTTGTATGTTCATTTTTTGTCAAAATATTGTACTTAAATAATTTTTAATTGTAATACTATTCTTAAAACAATTTTATATACATTTTCTAATTTAAGTGACACTAAATATCTTAAATATCATCCATTTATACGCTTTTGTAAAATCACGGTTCCGAACGTAGTCGGATACCTTAATGGAAATATTATGTGTTAATATTAAAATATCACATTTTTTAAAAAGAAATTATTATGATTTATTTATTTTTTTTTGTAGAAATTAAGAATTGATGTCAGTTTGATTCTGCTACTTATTTGAAAAAATAAGCGAAAAATAGTTTGTAGAACTTAACCGAATTATAAAATATTTATTTTTATGCCAGCATAGGCTCTAATTATTCCTTTTTTAAAAATTCCGAGTTCTTTATTTTTATCCCGAAGTATTTTTCCTCTTCATTAATTTTTTTATTTGTATTTAAAAATCGAACTGACAATACTATGTTGAAGAATAATCCATGTTTCAACATATACATGCCACCTTACACATTGAACCGTATCGCTTTCGCGCGCTTTTCAGCTATCGAACTGCAAGGCCACAGGACAGCAGGGTGCGGAAACTTGCAGTAAATTAGCAGCATCCTTTCCCATATCAAATCGCAGATGAGAGTCGCTCTGACACGTTTATCATTTGTCTGAAATATTTTCTCGGCTGCAGTTAGTTTTTTTGAATGAAGTGTGACAGGTTCACATTCAAGGCTGCAGCAGAAGCCATATTGCTCTTTCTCCCTGTGTATAATTCAGTGTTCTAGAATAAAATGTCTACATTAGAGTTCAATGTGCATCAAAGGATTGTAATATTTTGCAGTTTCTTTTTAAATTTTTTTTTGGTTCATTTTTAAGGAGGTAAAGCAATTTTCAATGCTGATATGATCTTGGGTGGTAAAATTTTATAATAAACCTAAATTATTTTTAGGGATGTATATGTGTTCTTGAAAGGCACATTTATTTCAACGCTGAATTTCATGAAATTTTTAGTAGTAAAAGCAGAGACTATTTAATTAATTTCTGTGAATTGTTGTGGGTTTCTTTTTTTAAAATTTTTTCAGTCTCTTTCTCTTTTTTTCTCAGTGGCCACGATAGCCTAGCGGAGGTCGGAGCGTCGCGGGTTCGAGTAATGGTGCCTCTTAAGACTCGCTGTGTAGAGGAGCCGTTGCACGTAAAATCTGTCAAGGCTCAATGTCTTAGCGTTGGTATGGTGTAGCAGTTAGGAGAGGGTGGTTTTGTCATTGTCACTTGAGCGAGGTTCAAAATTACGAGGTCCGTCGCCAATAGCCCTCATATTGTTTTATAAGGTGTACAACTTTGTTTCCGCCGTTTTGCAATAGATGGCTGTAACGGTAAGTGGTAGTCGAAATAAATAGATCGTAGGTGTCATACAATAAGCTTAGGTATTTGTAAATATAACGCCATCGAAATATTAGTCGATTTGTGTCTGCATCATAAAGTTATTCTCGATTAAACATGTCAGCTTACGAGCAAAATTCTCGTCATTTGCTGGAGGTTTTAATTTTCTGCTTTAATATGAAGAAATCTGCGGCTGAGGCTCATCGAATACTCTCAAATACCTATGGTGAGGCCGCTATTAGTGAAAGAATGTGCCGAGAGTCGTTTCAACGCTTCAAGAACAGTGATTTTGAAGTCGAAGACCAGCATGGCGGTGGAAGAGAGATGGTTTTCGAAAATGCAGAATTGGAGGTATTACTTGATCAAGACTCGTGTCAAACGCAACAAGAATTGTCAGGATCATTGGCAGTGACGCAACAAGACATTTCAAAACGCCTGAAAGTCATGGGAATGATTCAGAAACAAGGAAATTGGGTGCCGTACGAGTTGAAGCCGAGAGATGTTGAACGACGTTTGTTTGCTTGTGAATAGCTGCTTGCAAGGAAAAGGCGGAAGGGGAGAGACGGCATCTCATTCCGACTGGGGACGAAAAAAGGATTCGTTACGATAATCCCAAGCGCAGAAAATCATGGGGATATCCCGGCCATGCTTCCACGTCGACGGCCAAACCGAATATTCACGGTTCCAAGGTCATGCTCAGTATTTGGTGGGACCAGCTCGGCGTAGTGTATTATGAGTTGTTAAAACCGACTGAAACAATCACAGGCGATCGTTATCGAACGCAATTAATACGTTTGAGCCGAGCATTGAAAGACAAACGGCCGCAATACAACGAGAGACATGATAGTGATTTTACAGCATGACAATGCTCGACTCCATGTTGCAAAAGTGGTCAAGACATACTTGGAAACGTTGAAATGGGAAGTCCTACCCCACCCGCTGTATTCTTCTTGTTCCCTCGGATTATCACTTGTTTCGATCAGTGGCACACGGCCTGGCTGACCAGCACTTCCGGTCTTATGAAGAAGTTGTTGTTGTTGTTGACTAATTCCTCCTGTCTAGCCGCAGGCTAGACCAGGTCCATGAGCCCAAGAGTCCTCAGGAAATCGTACACCAAGAGAGGACTGGAATAGATGTCCTCCCTTTCAAGTCCTGCACAAAACAAAAGATGATCTGGAGTTGCCTGTACCAAATTGCATTTAGTACAATTCTCGTAAATTTTCTGGCCTAAGTTAAAGGAAAGGCCTCTAATGTGTCCACTTGCAAGCCTACTAATAGTTGTTTGGACGACTCTATCCGCCTTGATGGAAAGGGCACCACCTGGGGACTGCCTATTATACCAGGGGTGAGTCGGAGGAGTCTTCCATAGTTCTTGAATCAAAGATTTCGTTTTAGAAAAAATTTCCGAGAAAGTCAAAGTTCTTCTCGACATTAAATTTTCAGTGACACCTTCCTTGGCTAAAAGGTCAGCTGTGTCATTGCCAAAGAGACCAATGTGAGATGGAATCCATTGGAAGTAAATCTCATGTTGCTGGGAAAGTTCTTTAAGATTTTTAAGAATTGAGACCGATGTTTTGTCTCCAACATTTGTCCAGTCGATAAGGTGTTGGATAGCACTTCGGCTATCACATAATATCCATATTTCATCAGGAGATGTCATCGTCTTGATGATTCGGAGAGCTTCATCAATGGCAATTAACTCGGATCTAAAAACAGAACAAAAGTCCGAATTCCTAATTTTGATATTATGAGAACAATTAGGAGCCTTTAAAAAGATGCCACTGCCACATGAGTTTTGTTCGTCTTTGCTACCGTCGGTATAAATTTGCATTGCAGTAGCTGGAATTTTGTTAATAATCTCCAATGCTAATTGACGTAAATATTCAGGTGG